GATGACGGTGGGCTCTAGCATCGCCGCCCACAGCTCGCCGAGGAGCGCCAGAGCCCGCTGCCACTGGCTACTTTTACTGCATGCGCCGATAGTTGCAATGTAGTAGCATGGGCTGTCTGACGAACGTAGTCGATACGATTCGCTGAAGAGTTGCAAAGCTGCGCTCCACTGCTTTGTCCTTCCACAATTCTGTATGGCCGCCTCGAAATGAGAATCACCATGTCGTGATCCCAGCCTGGTGTCCAGCATCCAAAGCAATCTGGCACCACCATGGCTTGAACATCAGCGGTCTGAACAGGCACCCCGTGGAACCAAAATGGCTGCGGAGGACAGACGCTGGAGGAAGGAGGGGAGGACGCCACAGAGAGCGTGGGGAGCAAAGAGGAGGGAGATAGAAGCAGGGAGAGAGGGCAGAGGGAGGAGGAAGGAGGGAGGAGGAAGGAGGAGGAGGATGACAAGAGAGAGAGGGAAAAGGAAAGAGGAACAAGAGGACGCGCTGGGGCGTGTCAGCTGGATACTCATATGTTGTGCTTTGCAGTTATTGTATCGACTTCCCCTGCTGCAGTGCATGAGTGAGACTACCCATGATGGCATCAGTAGCAAGAGTGCGAGCGGACAGCCGAGAGGCGGTTGGGAGATAGACGAGGAGGAGGAAGGAACGGAAGAGAACGAGATGCAAGAGGAGGGCAAGGGCTGTCGACGCAAGTCCCGCGGGTGTTCTCCCTCCTCGTCCTCAAGCTTCCTCCTCCTCCTCCTCATCCTCCTCATCCTCATCATTCCCATCCTCCGTCCATAGCCAGTATGGCTCAAGCGAGCTACGATTCGGGAGGCCCTCGCCAGCGCGCTAGCGGCCGCGACGGTAGACACAGCAGCTGCCCCCGCCCGCACTGTGGCGGGACGGCGGGGAAGAGAGTGGCGCGCCGAGGTCGGCGCCTGCGCGCCCACGCGGTGCACCGCAGGACGGTCATTTTCAGGCAGTCCCCGGCCGGCGTACACAGGGCGTTGGGCGACGCGATCGGCGGCCACTACCCCCTCGCTGACCGACACAGCGAAGGCGGCCCGGCAGCTGGGTTTGGAAGCGGAATCGGGGGAGGCTCTTGAAACCAGCGTGGTGAGGAACTGGGCCCGTCATGCACCGCCGCCAGGACTCAAGCCTTTGCCCCCCTCCGTCAGGCGGGTCGTGGCTGCGGACATGGAGCCGTTCTGCCAAGAGCTCTACCTGGAGCATCCGCAGGTTGACGCATTGCTCTTGCAGCTTGGAACTGATGAAGTTCAGCGTGATGGAGAGCCTCAGGATGAGATAGGACAGACGCGTTCTTGTGGGACGGAGCTTGCCCCACGCAGTGGAGACGAACCCCCAGAAGCTAGAGTAAAGTCAGAACGAGTGCAGACGGATCTACATGCTGATGGGCATGGTTGCGACGCCCGCCCAGTGCAAGGAGCGCCACGTCAAGTTCAAGAGCACTGACCTGATCATGTGGTTCCTCCTGCAGAAGGTGGTGAAGGACCGCACGTGAACAATCCGCTGGCCCTCTTGCGGGGCCATCAGGCTGCGAGGCTTAGGCTTGCTGCTCCCTGCACCAGTTCCAGTTTCCAGTTTCCATTGTTACGGTACTGCTTTCTGCTTCCTACTGTAACTTGTTACTGTCCGCGCGAGGGGGGGGAGCCGAAAACCACCCTGGTTAGCGTCCCCTTGGAGGGTTCTCAAAATTCCTGGGGGGTAAAAATTGACACCCCTCACGCAGATCGGCGGGGTCAGGGTCCAAAAACACAAGGGATTTGCTACATTTCTGAAATTCGGTGGCACCCCTCACGCAGATCGGCGGGGTCAGGGTCCAAAAACACAAGGGATGTGCCACATTTCTGAAATTCGGTGGCACCCCTCATGCAGATCGGCGGGGTCAGGGTCCAAAAACACAAAGGATTTGTCACATGTCTCAAATTCGGTGGCACCACTCACGCAGATCGGCGGGGTCAGGGTCCAAAAACACAAGGGATTCGCCGCATTTCTGAAATTCGGTGACACCCCTCACGCAGATCGGCGGGGTCAGGGTCCAAAAACACAAGGGATGTGCCACATTTCTGAAATTCGGTGGCACCCCTCACGCAGATCGGCAGGGTCAGGGTCCAAAACACACAAAGGATTTGTCACATTTCTGAAATTCGGTGGCACCCCTCACGCAGATCGGCGGGGTCAGGGTCAAAAACACAAAGGATTTGAAACATTTCTGAAATTCGGTGGCACCCCTCACGCAGATCCGTAGGGTCAGGGTCCAAAAACAAAAGGGATTTGCCACATTTCTGAAATTCGGCGGCACCCCTCACGCAGATCGGCAGGGTCAGGGTCGGAAACCGAATAGGTCCCGACACTGCTTCACGGCAAAGCCAAAGCCTCATGACTTCGCTCTCCATTGCCCATTCTCCGAGGGAGGGGGCCGGCGGCAGGGGGCGAAGCCCTTACGGATAACCTGCGCAAGGACATCTGCACCGAAATCGCGCG